TCAAGTTTTTTTTGACTTGTATAAGTTTCACTAGCTCTTAGCACATTAACAGGTGTATGCATGGCATCTGACAATATTTATTAAATTTTGCTATCACATTTAAGGACTGCATTTGATGTTTAATTAACAATGTCTTGATGTTTAATTAACAATGTTTAAGGACTGCACTTGATGTTTATTGCAATTATTAAACATATTATATTCTTGATGTTTAATTAACAATGTTTAAGGACTGCACTTGATGTTTATTGCAATTATTAAACATATTATATGTTTTGACTAACTCATATACTTAAGGACTGCACTTGATGTTTATTGCAATTATTAAACATATTATATGTTTTGACTAACTCATATACGATTTGATAACTTTACCAAACCATGTTGATCTGTTTCTATTTTAACTCTGCACAAGAAGATATGTTTGATTCTAAATTTCTGCAACACAATCGCTAAAATATCTGATTGTTCACATTATTATTATTATTAACTTCTTTTTTATTTTATAAATCACAATATTTATATGTAGTTATTAATAGTGTTAGTCAAATTTTTCTTTCTCCGGACCATATAATAAATGGCGAAGAACAGAGATTGGATGTATAATGCTGCTAGAGTGAGTGTGGAGTTCATTAATAATGTCAATGACTTTCTTGAGAGAGCATTTGCTAATGGAGCAGTAGGGGATGAAATATGTTGCCCTTGTCGCATTTGCTGTAATTATTTTTGGTATAGTCGTGATGTTGTTTATGATCACCTTATTGTCAAAGGATTTATAGAGAATTATTATGTTTGGTTCTTTCATGGAGAGGGTGTGTCATCAAGGATGGATGTTGATAAAAATAATGAAGAAGCTGATGATGTTGCTGATGATGCTTAAGACAACCTGGATGGGTTATTACATGATGTATTTAGAGATGTAGCAGAAGAGTCTCTAGTGAACCAAGAAGATGGCCTAAGTGACCATGAAGAAAGGTTAACTAAGGAGACAAAGAAATTTTATAAGTTAGTTGATGAAGATAAGCAGCAGTTATTTCCGGGATGTAAAACTTTTTCTAAACTCCCTTTTATCATCCAGTTGTATCTTCACAAGTGCATCCATAACCTAAGCAACGAGGCATTTGATGATTATCTAGCCATATGGAGAGAGACAATTCCTGAAATAAATCTACCAAAGTCTTATTATGAGGCCAAAAGAATTGTGAAGGATTTGGGCCTTGATTACAAGAAGATACATGTTTGCCCTAATGATTGCATGCTTTACCATGGAGAAGATGGAGAAAATGTTGCTTGCAGTAAATATGGTGAAAGTAGATGGAAGACAAATAAGCAGGGTGTTCCAGTCAAGGTTTTAAGGTATTTTCCTTTAGAACCTAGAGTTCAAAGACTATTCATGTGTTCTCAGACTGCTGAATCCATTAGCTAGCATGCAAAAGACCGCCTCCAGGATGGGAATCTAAGGCACCCAGCAGATGACAAAGCATGAAAGAATTTTGATTCCAATCATCCTGATTTTGCACAAGACCCTCATAATGTGAGGCTAGGCTTGGCTAGTGACAAGTTTAATCCATTTCGGACTATGGGCATTTCACATAGCACATGGCCAGTGATCTTGATAAATTATAATTTACCACCCTGGATGTCTATAAAGCCAGAATATTTTATGTTATCTTTGCTTATTCTAGGGCCTCAGTCCCCTGGGAATAATATCGATGTTTACTTGCAACCGTTGATTGATGACTTGAAAGAGTTATGGGAAGTCGGGTTGCTTACTTATGATGCTTCAAGTAAACAACTATTTTATGTCCGTACAGCTTTACTTTGGACTATAAGCAACTTTCCGGCATTTGCAATGTTGTCCGGATGGAGTACTAAAGGGAAGTTGGCTTGTCCTTGCTGCAACTATGACACTTGTTCGCAATATTTAAAATACAGTAGGAAAATGTGTTACATGGGATTTTTGAGTGATAATCATCCATGGCGGTTAAATAGAAGAAACTTTAATGGCCATGTTGAGTTAGGAAAAAAACCTGAATTATTATCCGGGATAGAGATTATGGATGAATTGCGTGGCTTTGTTAATAACTTTGGGAAGAAACAGAAGGAAAAAAAATTAGAAAAGGGCTGTCCATGGAAAAAAAAGGTCAATATTTTTTGATTTTGGAAAAACCGCTGCCCTTGTGTACGAAATCGCGACATAAGGTATCAAAAAACCATCGTTGCAACTGTTGCATTTGAAATAACTATTACCTTTGTGTATGGAACCGCTACATTAGGAATCAGTAAACTGCTACAGAAAACGTTTTGCATTTTGTGAAAAACGTTGTTTAGCCTTGTCTTAGAAACCGTTGCGTTAGGTTTTATAACCACTGTCTTATGGCTAGGGCAACGACAGCAATGGAGACAATTTGCTAACTGCTGCGCTTGTGCAATTGCAGCGATTTAGATGCTAATGCGACAGTTATAAACCGTTGTGTTAGAGCAAATATGTGGTAATGACCAATATATTCTTTCAACACAAGATATTTATAGTGGCCACCATGCTTAAATTTAACCATAATAGTCACTGACATATGTATGCATGTACACAAAGAAAAGTCTAATTACATACCAAGTTCACATGGTACTCTAAATATTAAGAAACCACCAAAACTCTTACAAAAAACCAAAATTGATATACACATAAACTATACTTTTTAAATATAAGACAAATTTACATTTAGAAACTTGATTTTCTATCAATTGTCTACTACAAATGCACATTTAACCGCCATGATCAAAATTTAAAACTATAATCTATGTTTCTCATCTTCTTCGACAATGAGGATGAAGGATGTAATTCAAATTCTCTACAATGCTACTTTTCCCCAACCCATGTTCTCTCATTGTCAAAGGATGTCTTTCTGATTCTCTATAAAACCACTTCTTCCCTAACCCATGTTCTCTACTGAGAGATATTTCCAACAAACAACAAATTACAGTCGGTCTCCTTTTCTCTTTGGCAAGTTAAAAAAAATCAGAAAGGGGAAATTTGGCAAAATTCAGGATTTTGGGCAATTGAGATCCCGCCTTTATAACCCCCAAACCAACTCATTTAATCCTAGCCACATCATTAAGCAATGCCACACCAGATTGTTTTTAATGGCTAATTGGGCTCACGTGAGTATCACATTTTTTTCCCGGAAAAACCATTTTTGGACCTACTTGTCAGTGTAGACACGACTTAAATACCAAAACGATGCCAGAGGGTTTGTAAATACCAATGTAGTTTTTGGGATTGAATTTAAATATCAATTTGGCCAATTTGGTAGTTTTGTCCTTTCAAAATATATATAAAAAAAGAAAAAGACAAAGAAGCCCTAAAGTATAGGAGTTAAGAGAAAACGCTCCTAATTTTCATAGGGAAAACATTCCATTGCATAATTTTAACCAACCATGTGAAAAATTGCAATTTAATGCTACTAGGAGGGATTTTCTGATAACCCCTAAACTTAAGGAGGGTTATCTGATATTTCAAAAGTTATACGAGGTTATCTGTAAATTGTCCAAAGTTGAGGTGCTTTTATGATATTTAGCCCACCTTGTATGATTTTCTTTGAGTATAACTCCTACAAGAAATGATATATGAACCTAACCTTAATTCATTCTTATTTCGATATATGAGGACGGTATTTAAGGGGTCCTAGCTTTAGAAACATGCTAATGAATGGATTATTATTCCTTTTCCCTCTCACTTTTTTTTTGCATAAAACAATTAGAAATCTAATTATAAATTTTTTTCTAAAGTGATATTTATAACTCTTGTACAATGAATCTGATTATTGTTTTCATGTTAAAACTCATTGTACATGATTGTGTTAATTATTTGTGGGGATAAGTTGGAGAAGAGTGGAGCCAATAATTAATTTTGAGGACTTTACTTTAAAAAGATTTCGAAAAGTTGATTCTCTGTTAAAATCTTCATGTAATCAAATTAATTAGATATATAATGTTAGCCTACGATCTAACAATTCGAATTTTTAAAAATTAGTTTCTCTATATAATATTAATGGAGACAATAGTAACATTAAAAAAATACAACAACTACTAAGAGCAGATTAAGATGATTTCTGATTACACACCTTACTTTAATGCAATAATTTTTCTTTTTGAAAGATTAAGTGATAATTTCTACCAATAAAAGGAAAAATTTTGAAAACAGACCCCTTCGCAAAAATATTCCTAAAAAAGACCCGTTTCCACTTTATTTTCAAAAAAGGACCTAGTTTCAGCCTCAGGACTGAAACTGGGCTGAAACTAGGTCGGTTTTTTGAAAAAAAAAGTTCCCAAACTTCACGGGAGTTGAACTCCCGTGAAGTTTTGTTATGTAAAAACTTCACGGGGGTTCAACTCCCGTGAAGTTTTGGAATTGTTTTTGCAAAAAACGACCCAGTTTCAGCCTCAGATCTGAAACTAGGTTGTTTTTTGCGAATATTTTCAAAACGGATCTATTTTTGGGAATATTTTTGCAAAATGGTCTGTTTTCAAAATTTACCCACCAACAAAATTGTATAAATCTAGGTTTTCATGTATGCCACCAATGCAATATTGGTATGTATCACAAAGTTATTCGAGACCGACGTGCACAATTAAGATGCTCTTTTCTTCGGCAAAGACAGGTATCAAATACTTTCGTTTTTTTTTTTTGTTGAAAATTAATGAAATTTCAACAGAGAGAACTCAAAATGTTAGCCTGCATCTTACTAAAGAAAAATTCAGGACAAAATTCAACCATGAATTGAGGTATCATCATATACTTGAATCTATTCAACCAAAACAGTTTCAGTACTCCCTCAGACGTGTACATTGAATTTTTTTTCGTTTAAGGTAACAAATGGATCCGGATCAAAGAGCCCAAAATACACATATAAGTAAAAAGAGAACATCTCAGGGATGCACAGTATGTTATTCAAGATCTGATCATAGTTTTCAGTAATTAACCCCAAAGAACAAGTGCAAAAGGGACAAACATGCATCATATATAATTGAAAACTTCAGCTTGTTACATGCATAATTAAAAGCATGCAAATAATTTGTCCTCAAAAGATCAACGGAGGAAAAAATAAGAAAATAGCTACGGATACATAATTTCATACAAAATTAAGCTAATGAAGGTGATTTATTATACATCAATTATTTGCTAGAATGAGGTGAAGCATTCTGGCTCAGATGAGTTCGTATCATCATCAGGAGCATGTGTATGCCTCCCCTCATATGTGGTAATAACCATGCGGCAATCCTCTGATAGTCTCTCAACTCTTTTCTTTACTCTACAGTTATGATGAGTGCACCGAAAATAGCTTCTGCAATTATCAAGGAAAATAGAAATGAAGAAACATAATATCTGAACTAGCGCTTACATTATGCCTTAAGGGCTGCTTGGGTGTTGGATTTATATTTTGGATTTGTGACAATGTAAGAAATTCATGAAATCCACAATTTTCTAAGATTTTAATTTTTTGTTTGCTTTGTAAAAAATTATGATGAAAAGTTAGTTATGAAAATAAATTGTTTACGTGTTATTGTGTCCGAAGCACTCATCTTAAATTTAGTCCCTCCAACTATTATACCAAAACTCCAAAGTTATGGTGAGAGTTGAGGTTTATCTTTTTATATTCTAACATGCCCCTGTAGGCTAAGCACCCTTTTTATGGGTCGAAAATTGGATTCACACAGTAGTGTTAATTCTTTAGAAAATCCATATTAAATTCGTGACCGGTGGGATTTTAACTTGTTGCTTTAATATCATCTTAAATTAAGTCTCGCTAACCATTATATCAAAACTCTGAAGTTATGATGAGAGTTGATGTTTATTATTTTTATATTCTAATAGTAATATTCTTATTTGTTTGAAGCTATAATGATAAAGTTTTAAACTTGTTCACGTTGGGTGACAACTCAAACTCTAACTTGGATCTGAATTTGAAGGCTAGGCCTAGTCCTAATAGTTTTCTTGGAGGTCAAGTTGACTTGGTGGATAAGTCAGGGGTGTCTATAAATAAGACATCCTATTCTAGGGCTTTTCCAAAGGAGAGAAAGATATAACCAGATTCAAGAGTACTGTGAGAGGAGAGGGTGTCGTAGTTTTTCTCTGTACAAAATATTCTAATTAAATGGTGATAGTGGATTATTTTTCATCGTGTGGTTTTTTTCCTATTGAGGTGTTTTGACGTTAAATATTGTGTGTGATTCTCTTTTCTACATTTTGTGATTTTCCTGGTTTTTGCAAGATCTAAAACCCCCCAACAAGTGGTATTAGAGTGGGTTCAATGATTCGTGGAGGTTTGAGTAGTGTGATTAGTGAACGCATTAGCAATAATTGAAGTGATGATCTACACCAATAATCGAGAGGACTGTTGTGTCGGTCTTTTATGCAAGGTGAAGTTGTCAATGATGTTTTCCAATAGTTGGAGGATTAGCGATGTCCATTAATCACGAGGACTTTGGTTTGTGGAAATGTTCTTGGATTCTAATCGCTTTTGAGGAATTTTTTTTTTGTAGTCAGAGGTGGTCGGAAAGGGCGTTGGTTGCCAGAGATCTCGACGGAAGTCATGAGGGCAGAGCATCGTGAGTGGAAGTTTTGGGTTCTTTCTTATTCATGAGTGGAGAGAAAGAAAGAAGGAAGATCACTTAGGTGTCGTTGTGTATTTGGTGTGCATTATTTTGGGTGTTTGTTGTTGTGTGGTATTTTGCCTTCTGCCTAGGTACAGTGGATAGGATTAGTTTGTTAGCTGATTAGCAAATCGAAAGCGTGTTTTGATGATCTTTTTAATTGTTCCTCGGGTTTATCAATGTTTTGCGTAAGTTTTTAAAGTTGGTTCCACCAAATTCAACTTTTGTAGTGACTATTTTGGATTTGGTTGTGATCAGTGGATGGTGACATTCTCAAGTCCGAAGTTCGACATTTCACTATTTAGCAAGATAAATTTTGCAATATTGTAGTGTACCATTTAAGATCTTCTGGAGTAATGAGGTGTCGATCAAGTCTTGAAGGAGAAGAGATTAAGGATGATGAATGGAGTTCCATGCAAAAGAAAGCACTCGGCACAATTTGTTTGGCACTTGCTCACCAGATCAAGAACAACATTATGGGGACCACGTCAAAGAGGTTGTGGGACAAACTTGACGGGATTTATGCATCAAAGTCAACGAACACTTGATTGCGTTCGAGGATGGAGGTTTATTCATTGAATATGGTAAGATACTATTACTCAAGACCACATTAATGTCTTTAGTCAGCCAGTAAGTCAACCTATGAATATTAATGAGAAGATTAAAGAAGAAAAACAAACATTATTCCTACTATCTTCCTACCAAAATTGTGTGAGTCGTTACTTCAGACGATACTTGCAGGAACACAACCTTTAAATTTTAATGATATGAAAATACTACTACAAGAGAACGGGAGGAAGAGAAGAAAGGAGAGCATATCTAATGGTGGTGAGAGCAAACTAGCTTCTCAAGATTCTGATTGAGGGAGGAGTAAGAGAAGATGTGACAATTATTGAGGAAGATCATAATCTCAGGCCCGAGACGATTGCGAGAAGTAGTGCTATTATTTGCAGAGAGAAGTGTCACATTTAGTTCTTATGCTCATAGATATGCAATGATTTGAAGAGCATTGGATAAGTGAAGCTTTAAGAAAATGGAAAGAAGGAGGATTCCTCTGCAGTTGTGTGTGATGAAGATGTGGTGTTTATGATGAAAAGTACCAATAGTAATACGAGCAACACTTAGGTGTTAGATTCTTTAACCTCTATGCATATTTGCAATAATAAAGATTTTTTTGACACATTGAAGACATAAAAAATTTGATGACATGGTCATTGGAAATAACGAGAAGATGAAGGTTGAAAGTATTGGAAGTGTTCACCTCAAGTTTCAAACTGGGAAGGTTAGAATTCTTCATCATGTGAGATATATTCCGCCATGGTGCTAATTGAATTTTGTTGAATTAGATGACATTGAGTGGGTACAAGTATGTGCGTGAAGGAGAGTGGTGCAAAGATATATAGATGGTGATTTGCTTTTGTGAGAATTCTTGGAGAGTATCTTGATCAAGAGAGGGTGTCCTCTTTTATCTTTTTCCTTTGTAACCTCGAAAAGAATATAAAAGAATTGGGCGTCGTCATTGCACCATGGAGTAGCTCTATAAGAGTGAACTATGTTATATATATGAGTATTGTGATTGAATTCATATTTACTGGTTTTATTCTGTGATTCCAAGATCATTTGGTTGTGTTTGGCATCTCCGAGGTGTTCTTGTGGGCGTGTATCTTAACATAACGATCTCATGTTATGCGTAGCGGAACTCTAATCACACGAACAAGAACGAGGTAGATCACAACTAAACACAAGCACAAATCAAATTACAAAAAGACAATGAATTTTATGTGGTTCGGCAAGTTGCCTATGTCCACGGGGCAAGGAGGGGGAGTTCTTCCTATTAGAGATGAAAAGAATATAAAATAAGGTTACAAAATTACTCAAAACCCTAAAACAAAGCTCTCTAAATCTCTCACCAATCTCCCACAATTGGACGCAATAATCCTTTCTCAAAGACTGTTCAAAACGTCCTTGCTTAACCCTAATTAATCATGTTTAGGGTAATATACAAACATCAAATAAAATGAGTTAAAAACCTAAAGCCCAGCTCAGACCCGAGTCACGGTCGATAGTCGCGGACGTCGCGGTCGACCGCAAGGCAATGACAGAAACCAAAAAATCCTATAGGGTTTGGCCGGTCGACTGCACGTGACGCTACAGTCAACCGCCAAAAGTCCACAAACCTCCCAGGTATCGTGCACGTTTTCGGTCGACCGCAGCTGATCTCGCGGTCAACCGTGAAGCTTCCTGTATGTTTTTCTGTCGTGTTTCATGAGCTTTCTTCAACTATTCCCCAATCCTTCAAATCTCCACCTCGGTGGAGTTTCTTCCAAAACCGAGCCAACATCAAATCATCCAAATGTCCCTCTTGTTGCATCCAGGACGAAGTGGAAACAACCCATAACAACAGACTCAATCCACAACAAGTCGGGAACCGAAAGGAGAGCTCAAACAATCTCCCCCCATCGAAATCAACAAACCCAACTGACTGCACCGAAAAGACTACCTACATATCCTCTTGCCCAAGGAATCAAGCCGAACGTAGTTCACCCAAATTGCCTCTAAAGGCCCTCAACATTGAAGAATATTCAATAGCTTCATACAATGATCAAATTTCACACCTGAAACAACTTTGATCAATATATCCACATGGTTGTCCTTTGTGTGGATTTTCTCCAATATGGCATCTCCATCATCCAAAATGTCACGAACAAAATAGAATCTGACATCAATATGCTTCGTGTGTGCATTATAAACATGATTCTTCCCCAAATAGATAGCCGACATGCTATCACAATATACCCGAAGGGTCTCCTGTGCAATCCCTAAGTCCTCCAACAATCTATACAACCATAAAGCCTCCGTAACATTTTCAGTCAACACCATATACTCCACCTCTGTAGTAGAGAGAGCCACTATAGACTGAAGTGTACATCTCTAATATACTGGTGCTCCTACCAATGTAAACACATAACCTGAAGTAGACAGGCGTTTGTCAAGATCTCCTCATCATGAAGCTGTCGAATCTCTTATACCAATCATGAAGCTGTCGAATCTCTTATACCACTGTCGTGGCAATTGCTTCAGACCGTAAAGAGACTTCTTCAGCTTGCAACCAAATCTTTCTTTCCTACAGCTTTGAAACCTAAGAGTTATATCATGTAGATCTCCTCATCTAAATCTTCGTGTAGAAAGGCTGTCTTAACATCCATCAGGACCAAATCCAAATCCAGTTGTGCCACCAATGCCAATAAAATCCGAATCGACAAATACTTCACAACAGGTGCAAATATCTCGTTGTAATCAATGCTCTCAAGATGTGCATATCTCTTGGCAACCAATTTGGCTTTGTACCTAATGTCCCCAATAGAAGATCCCTCTTTCTTCACATATACCCACTTGCAACCAATAGCTTTCTTACCTTAAGGTAGCTTTGCAAGTTCCCAAGTATCGTTCTTCTGAAGAGATCGCATCTCCTCCTCCATAGCTTCCCTCCATCTATACGAATCAGAGCTAGACTATGCCTCCCTGAATGTAGAAGGAACCATATCATCAACAACCTTCACTGATAAGGCATATGCAACCATGACATCATTATATCTAGCTGGACGATGAATTACCCTTCTAGGTCTATTTGCTGCAATGGACTCCTGAACATGACCTTGCTCATGAGTCACACCATCCACTGTATCCTCTA